GTAAAACATGCAGGAAGTAGATGGATGCAAGTAGCTCAGGACCGTGCTTTGTGGCATTACTTCGGGGAGGCTTATGTTAAGCAGTGGACCTGTGAAGGGCTGTAATGATGATGAACACATCGTATCAAAAAATATATAACAAAAAAAAAAACAATACGACATAAAGAATACTAGAATTAAGCTTGAATTGTGTCGAGAAAACGTAAAGAGAGTTAGATATCAAACCAGGCCGATATAAAGGAACTTTTAGAGAAAGATACAATTTAGCTACAATATCTTAGAAGATCTACTACGTTGTTGAATAGGCAACCACTTTAGTCGAATACGGAAGTCATAAATGTGGTCAAATTATGAGTCCAAAAATAAGCATAATGCAGTTATTTAAAATTCGTTCTAATTTTCTTACAAAAATTTGATTGGCATTAGAGTAACAAACATCAGCAAAGTCGATGAGGGGAAGTACCAATGGTTGCACCAGCAATAACTTATGTCATTATCATTACTTGCGTTTATTTGATATACATTACTGAACTTAATATTTCTATCCCTTAGTTTGCCTCAAGATAGTCTTGAGTGCCTATTAATACACGTTGACTTTTGCAGACGTTACTATTTCTTTATCTATTTCTTTACGTTTACTAAACTATACGTTTAATATATGTATATGTGAATGGGCTCCTACATTTATTTGAATATTTTATAAAGGTGTTAAAAAAGTTAAAAGATACATTTTCGACGAGAATTCCACTTTAATCCGTTTTCTATTATCACTGTCTGTTCGTAAGCTGCTTTTAATAGTTAATGGAAACGCATTTAGTGCCAATGTACATTATGTAATTGCACATATTAAATGTTTTATACACAGGGATATTAAATTATATAATTTTATAAGAAATGTATGAAGTTTTTAGTCTCTATACATCAGTGGTACAACTAGTAGTATTTCTTTATAGGATAGGTTGACAAACGAGCACACAGTCCATCTGTGGTAAGTGGTTGCTGCGGCCCATAGACATCTAAATTTATCCTCGATTACGAATCAAAATGCAGATGCGTTGTTACCCGTGAGGCCTAATATGGAATGCCTCGTTTCCATTAAAAATGGTATCTGGTTCTCTACACTCACCATACGAAACAGCAGCATTAAGCTACTATTTTACGCTGATATTCTGTAAGAGCGTGGTCCTTACCCGGTCGAGCCGACCCATTCGTACTACAACTATACTACTTATATAACTGCAGCATGGCTTTATCACGTAAAATTGTTCGAGTATTTATTTGCTGAAGTGTTGTTGCTGGTCGTAAAATGAATCACAAATAATACTTATAATATATGACTTGCACCGTGATGTGGCGTTCTGAATTATCCACTACCTCATATCGTTCAGAGGGTGTCGCAACAAGCAACAGAGGGAAACTGAAACAGGAGGTGGGCAGCAGCATTTTCCTGAAAACCATTAAACTAATAAAAAAATAACGGAAAAAACCGCGATTGTCAAACCCCCCTGCCAAGCGTGGCAACTGTGGTAAATATCTCCCCCTTTGAACCAATCTATGGGGGAGACTATATTTATTCAGCCATTTTACTGACTGCAATGGATCTATGGATACATTTATAACTTAGTATTCTTTTACAGGCGCTGCAAAAAGAATAAAAAAGGAGTTATAATATAACTAATTATCAAAAATTGTACATATTACTTTTAATAAAATAAAATAAATGAACTAGGTTTAAGTGCTTGTCGTAACTCGTCCGTTCGCCGGCACCAATAAATTTACATGGAATGAAATAAAATATAACGAAACGAAAATAAAATAAAAATGAAATAAATGGTAAAGTTCAAAAATCTATATCTGATAACTTATCAAAATACCCAACTCCTATCCTCTACCCAGAGAAGAAACCTCGGAAAAAATCAAAAAAGTATTTTGAAGAAACCGAACTGTCTAAAAAATTAAATATTATGTGTTAAGTAATTACTGAAATTCAATAATCCGTACAAGATCAATTTGAATTATTCCCTGCCCTAAATCCCTTTCAAAATGTGAAAATCAAGAATGGGTTGGACGATGAATACCTAAGACCTTAGCCCTCAGCGGTGATAATATATTTGCATTTTAACTGTTATTTATATATAATAAAGAAATTAGAATAATTAAAATAGTAATAATTTATTGGGGGGTATCTATATAGTTTTCTCATCTAGTTGGGATCTATAAATATATAATTATAAATGAAAATGAAAAGAAATATGTACATAAATATCAATAAAATAAAATAAATACAAAAATACATAAATAAATAAAAGCCCAACCAGATGGAAGCCCTCGGCAGGGAAGACCAAACGGAAAGAAACCGGCGGACTATGCGGGCAGTATCAAGGAGCACCGCCTTCTGAATTTGAGCCCGGAGCGGTCCGTCACTGAGTCCCAGTCGCCTCAGATGACCAGAGAGGCTAACTGGGATTAGCCCATTCGCAGAGACGACTACAGGAATAATTTCGGTCGGCAAACCACCCTACATGTCGGTCAGCTCGTAAGCCACGTCCAGATATTTTGATTGCTTATCTATTTCGACTTTCACGAGGTTCTCGTCATACGGGATGGTAATATCGACCAAAAATATCCTTGACTGTGCCCGGTCCATCAGCACAATATCAGGCTTTTTCGCAAGAATAGTCCTGTCTGTGATGATGGCCCGGTCCCAGTAGAGCCTGGCACGGTCATTTTCGAGCATGGCTTCCGGCAAGTACTTGTAATACGGCAATTTCCGGTCCACGAGACCGTATTTCAGAGCGAGCTCGTGGTGTAAAATTCTGGCTACTAGGTTGTGCCTGTGCAAGTACTCAGAGTTAGAAAGCGCCGAACAACCGGAGATGACATGCCTAAGTGACTCCCCGGGATGGCGACAAGCTCGACAGACGTCGACGGTGCCATCTTTTAGGATGTATCTCCGATAGTTGTTGGTCTTAATAACCTGATCCTCTATTGCACAGACAAAACCCTCGGTTTCCCCGAAGAGGTCACCGAAACGTAGCCAGTTGAGGGAGGCGACTGTATCTACGAAGGGCTCATGTAGAGCCCTGTAGAACCCCCCGTGGAGCTCCTTCTCCTTCCATACGGTCTCCCGGTCGGAAAAGCTAAGCACTGCTGGGTCCTGCCATTGCTTGTTGGCTAAGGATAGAGGGGTAAGCCCTTTATCACTAGGATTGACGTCATTATAGAATGGATTATCCGATCTCGCCAGGAAGTAATGACGGAGGCTGCACACTTCACGATTATGCATGGTGAGCGCACTCAGAAAGCCACGCCCACCATGCTATCGCGGCAAGTACAGCCTCATTACCGACGATCTCAGATGATGCATCCTATGGGACGTCATGGTAGTGCGGACTTTTCTATCCAGGGCGTTAAGTTCAGTCTGAGTCCACCTGAGTATGCCAAAGGTATACATAAGGACAGGCATGACCCAACCATTATATGCGTGTGTCTTATTCACACCGGACAAACGGCTATTAAGCACTTTGGTCAAGCGTGCATAAAACACGTCGCATACTGACTGTTTCATACCAGCCTTATCGACACCGATGTTCTGTGACATACCCAGGTATCGGTATGTTTCAGCCTCGGAAAGGGTCCTTAAGTTGACGGGCATATTTTTTTGGGGGTTTTTTTCTTGTTCAGGTTGTTTTGATAAATTTATGCCTTTCCTCAGAATTAGCAACCCTTCCCCTTTCAACATGGAGGACCGCACACTTATCCGTCCCCAGCTCTATTCCAATGGAATTGCTAAATTCACAAGTGATTTTTAGCAATTCCATAAGATGGGAGCGACTGGAGGCGAATAACTTGAGGTCATCCATATAGAAGAGGTGGGTCACTTTTGTCCCTCATTTCCGTAGCTGAAATCCCCTCCCGGATCCCTCCAGTAAGGTACTGAGAGGGTTCAGAGAGAGGCAGAACCAGATTGGACTCAGACAATCCCTGGAAGATACCCCTTCTTATCCTTATGTGGTTTTCCGCAGCCATCATCCGCTCACCTAGATGATAAAGGATCGTACTCCACTGCCCCATACACTGCTCGAGGAAGTCTCTCACTGTACAGTCTATCTTGTACAGCTCGAGGACTCTCTTTAGCCATGTATGGGGCACCGAGTCGAATGCCTTTCTGTAGTCTATCCAGGCGGCGGAGAAGTTCCGACGGTTACGTTTCACCACTTTGCCAATGACCGCGTCTATGAGGAGTGGTTCCTTAGTTCCACGACCACCGCCCCGACATCCATTTTGAGCGCGTGACATCACCTGATTTAGCTCTAGGTAACGAGTGATGTCAGTGTCTTATATATGGTGGGTAGACACGTAATGGGGCGGTATTTGCTCGGGTCTGTGGTAACCTGGTCTTTAGGAACCCATGAGTGATCCCAGTAGTGAAGAGGCTAGGGATCGACTTCTGCTTGAGAGCCTCTTAAAATTGACGGGCGAGCACAGCGTGACACACCATGAACCCCTTCAGCCAGTAGTGATGCAGCCCGTCGAGTCCCGGACTTTTCCAGTTCAGGGCCCAAGGGGCGCCTCAGCTACGTCATCCGGCGTTATGATGACGGGGTCCATGGGCCTAATACTTGCACACTGACTCGCCACAACTTCCGTTCAAAGGCCCTCGCTGTGGTTTACGGACTCTGACCACAGGCCACGCCAAAATGCGACAGTGTTAGCCTGATCCGGTCCTGGGCCCGCTCTACATAATTCTGGTCGCTCCCATGATTTGTAGAGCCTCTTCTGATCACTCTGGTAGAGACGATTCTGGTTGAACCGCCTTGACCTCTCGGTAAATCGGCGAATCCGCTTCCCCCAAGCAGCGATCTTTTGCTTCAGGTCGTCTATGCGCTCCGTTAGTTTCTGCGTGATAGCCGGCTGGGACAAACTGATATTTGTCCCAGCAAACGCCATTCTAACGGTGCGCACAACCCTTGGTCTATTATTACCCGACCTGAAGCTTGTCAGTCTGCCGATAAGTGCCTTTCCTTTGCGATACGGTCCTCAATTCTTTTTCTCCAGGCTGGGATTTCGCTACTTTGTTTAGTAGCGCGTCCAGCCATGGGAAGTTTGGCGCCAATTATACGGCAAGCTGCCACTGCGGCGCCAAAAAGAACTGAGTCCGTCTCGCAAATGTCCCGGATGGCTTCCAAGTAGGTTACCAGCATTGGGTTAAGAGCCCTCACGACAGCCCGATTTCGCTTGCTTAGGGGTATACGGGGAAGTCGCGGTCGATTTTCGAGAGTCATGCTGCGCGTTTCCAAAATCGCCTCTTCCAATATACTCCTCATTTGCTCTAGTTTGTGGGAGACCATTTCATCATCGTCTGAATCAAACACAACTGGAAGATCCATGGCGGCTTCTACGCGTGGCAGCTGGTCTGTCGCCTGACGAGCCGCATCCTCAGCCGTAGCCAATTCATTCTATTCGGGAATGGCCTCACGTCGTATTCGTTCGAGCTCGGCATCATCAAATATTTTCGAGCGCATGATGTACCGAACTCGATCTGCCAGGTTTTGTTCCGTGACGGGAATAGACGGCTCCAGCTCAGTAAAAAAGCAATGCATCCGAGCCCGATACGCTATCCCCGCAGTTTCCTCCCCTTTCGCCCTATAGTACGCTCGCAATGCGTTTGCGTTCATATCCCTTGTCCAACGCATGCGGCGCATTCCGCCAGCGGCGGATGCCGCTTGCCGAGTCCGAGAGGACCCTGCCGACATCAAGTCGTCTGGTGAGGATGATGGATGCGGGGGGCTGCTAGGTGATCTTGCAGCTCCTCGCGCTTGGCTGGCGGCCCGCATGCTGCCGCGTCCAGCGCCAGCTCCAGACGCGCCCCGGCCACCCCCAGGCAGCGGCCCTATACGCTTTCTAATCAAATCCATCATCCATTTTTATTTTATAATTTATTATTATTGAAGATAGATGTTTGTGGGCAGAGCTTCCAATTACCACCACGTAGTCTGTTAGTACGTTGGTCATACTTACTTCTTTAAACAATTGGCAGAAGGATAACGGGAATAGGAAATAGTTTGTTAAATATTATACTATATTATGAGGCTTATTACAGAGCGAAGGCAATGTTAAATGATCGCTTTATGCGATTAACTTTGTCAAAATTCTTGGTGGATAGAATTACCTCCTACGGTATGTGTAGCATTCAATCATATTAGATGTTTCATACGTGTCGAAATACGACTTGTGGTTGGCATTCCAAATAGGTAATTAGATTTATATAATGATCGAAATACGAATTTGATGAATAGGTATTGTTAAGTGTAGTCCGATTACATATGATTTTGTGTATTGTATTACCTACCGAAATTCGGTCTCGATTATTATTATACGAACACCTTACTATAAATCGCAGTCTGGTGTTGAGCCTGTCTTACGTTGTTAGTTTGCATTAATGTACAAATATTTTACTCCTAAGTAGTCAGTTGGCGGATTCTAAGAAATGCTTTTCTCCTGCGTTGCTCTCTGAAAAATTTGTGATGAGTGATATGGTCCCATAGGTAGAATTAAACAAACAGAATTTCTTTTAGATATTAGATTATGAGGTAATCTACGAGGAGGATATTTTGCAGTGGCTTTTTGATATGTTGTGATTGAATGATGAAAAAATATCAATATGATTGAAATACATATTTATTAGTGCAGGTATCTTAAGCAAACGGTTTTTTGCGAGTAGACTTTTCTGCACGTGAATTTTAAAATGCTTCAGATATAACGGGGACGATCCTTATTAGCACACAGTAACCGACTCATTACCTCTCATAAATCCGTAATCTTACACGGAATACCAAGCTCAGGTGAAATGCGGCGTTTAAAATTTTGGAGTAGGTATGTTGTATAATCTGCTAAAAATTGAAAGAGCCGTGCTCATAACCGAATTTTCGTTACAGCTGCTAGTTTCAACAAAGACCTGCGTAGGAAAGAAATATAGTGCAAGAGCGTGTGCACTCCGTGCCCTATATTCATAATCCGAAAGGAGGCAATCCAACACGACACGAGATCAGACGCAGGGCACACAGCTTTATTTGCAGTCCAAGGCATTGAGGTAAAACACAGCCAACTTCCTGACTTCAGACTTCTTGGCAGAAAACTTCCATTACTGATTTGCTAAAACTAATAAATTTTATGATGACAAAAAGACTTAATAAAGTCACAAGTGATACGTAATACTTACTGTTTATTTAAAATATATCTTTTAATTTTTATGGAGTTTTGACAAAATGTCATCATCAACATTTATGTTTTCAAGTACACTATAGAATAAAGATATCACTATGGATTATCAAAGAGAAAAAAGACAATATCAAAATCAAACCCTTACGTTCATCGACTCCTGCACGCCTGCATGGCTAAACAGGTCGGCACGGTATTTAGTTGAAGGTTGCTCTACACGTAGTACTACGTGTTCCTTCCCTGTTAATTTCCGGGTTTTTCAGCTATATGGCCGACATTTTTACCATAATAAACGAATGCAACTACATTGGTAAATTGCATTAAACAAATAAATAAAAAATTTAATTTAATGACATCTGAAATATAATCCCAAAAATTAAACCATTTTGCTTTGCTCTACGTTAACGTTAAGTATTAATTATTTTCACTAATTTAAGATATTATAAAAACCTGTCAGAATGTTTGATTTATAACTTTTAATTTATTTTTTTAACCATACGAAACGAAATGAAAATGTTTTGCATAATAGACATAGCACACACAAGCGAACCGTGGAAGTGGCTCAAAGCGATAATAGACACCGCTGTCGTAAGGCGAACGCTATCTTCCGTGGCACCCGACGCGGAAATGTCGTCACCCTTCAGACAATCTTCATTTCCTTCGCAGCCATTTTGCTCCCGTCTCGCTTTTGTAAGCGTCATAATATAGCTGCATCCTTTTTGAGATACATAGATATAACAATTTGTTTTTTTTTTACATAAAATAGGAACAACTTAGTTTTATAATATAGATAAATATGGATTAAACATGATGATAGCTGACTACTCACTAAGCATTCAAAATATTTTATTTATAGATTAAACGAAAAACATAAAAAAGAGAAAAACGTACAACAAAAATAAAATCACAGATAATATAAAATGTTAAGCGTTTTAGATTTGTGAGACGAGATAAAAATGAGAAGGTTCTAAATTCAACGAATACATATGTTTTATGTAATGTATATTCACCGCTTGTTCGGAAATAGCTGAACTAATTTAAATAATTATTTTTATAAAGAATAAGGGTGATAGAATAGCACTTGATAGTAAGTGATTGCTATGTGCCATAGACTTCAACATCTATCATCAATCAGGGATCGAAATGCAAATGAGTTGTCACCCTTGAGGAGTAAGATGGCATTTTTTTAACTTTTCTAAACCAGCACTTAGCTACAATCCCGCCTGATGGTAAGTGGTGATGTAGCTTAAGGTGGCAAAGCGCACTGACTTAACAAAAACCTATACACTCTTGCCTTGAAGACACCCACATTGTAATCGGATGGAAAGACAGAGGCTGGCAACTTATTACATTCCTATGCTGTACGCATGTTGAACGTCATAGCAAATCGTTTGGTTCGAATGCGTGGTAAGTCAACAACGAAAGGGTGCAGACTAGCCTTACGTCTGGTCGTCCGATGGTGGAAGGGAGAGGGAGGAATTAAATTATGCTATTCCTGCGCACACTCTCTGAAATGCATCCTGTAGAAGACCGATAGGCCGAATACTTTGCGCCGGTGTTCGAGGCTGGTAAGATTGGTTTCAACCGAATTCAGATCACTAGTAAGCCTCTTATCACGCCTTTCTATTGAGCCCTAGGCCACTAGGTGGCATTTTGCAGCACTTACCCATAGATGACAGAAATTCTTCTGCACGATCGGACTTGCGCTTTATATAAAGTAAGCATCAGTCTCGGCGTGAAGTATCACTTCACCTTTGCAAGGACTCCTATCCTCCTTGCAGCCGCTTTGGCCTTAGACTCAATGAACTGTCCGAAGTTCAGATTTGAGGATATCTCAACCTCCAGCAACTGTAGGCAGTCGGTGTATTCCAGCGATAAATTTCGGGAAGAAAGAGCTAAGGTGAGCTGGCTCCTTTTTGCAGTGAAGAGACACGCTTGTGTTTTGGAGGCGTTGAATTTCATAAGATTAGTATTGTGCCATTCGGAGACTGCCTGTAGTGTGAGATTCACACGCTCTACCGTAGCTTCTCTGTCGGACTGGATTTGATCCCAACTGGTTGGTATCTCTCCACAACTGTACTGTCGTCACCCTACCCATAGATATCGAACATAAGAAAATCATTTATATGCAGCAGGAAGAGAGTTGCAGATATAATGAACCTCTGAGGAACACCGGCGTTAGTCGTCACTGGATCGGATGAGTAGCCATCGTAGACGGGGACAAGCCGTACACTGGAAGGTTAGCCAGAAGGCTAGCGTGCCATACTCTGTCAAAGGCCTTTGAGACATCAAGGAAAACAGCACGTGCTTCCCCACTGTTCTCGAGTGCCTCGCCCCATACGTGTGTGGCATACACTAGAAGGTCCCCAGCTGACCGATATCGGCGAAACCCGTACCGCCGGTCACTAAGGAAATCATTCTGTTGTATGCCATTAAGCGGGCGTTCAATATAAGGTTCATAATCTTGCAGAGTATGGGGGTAATTGAGATTGGCCGGTTAGCACGGCTGCCTTTCTTTGGAACAGGTTGCACGTTGGCCAACTTCCAGAATTATGGCACTATCCCAGTCCGAAATGAGAGGCGGAACAAGCGTGTCAACACAGCCAACCAGTGATGCTTCTTGTCCAGTAAAAAAGGTCAACGGTTCTCTATACTTACCATACAAAACAAAACTATTCTGCTCTTTCACGCTAGTATTCTCTGAAAGTGTGGTCCTACCCCGTTTGAGGTGATTAGTGCTGCAGCTATGTATAAAATAATTTGTAGTATATATTTTTAAAAATATTATACTTCAGGGATGGTGGCATAATAATTTGAAACAAAAATCCGCCTAGGGATGGGAATATAGTAGATGAAGATTTTAATTTAATTTTGCAGACAATCTTTGATATAATTTAATTTAAATTTGTGTAATTTGTCACATTTATTCTATAAAAACATACCTCAGGTCAGTCATGAGCATAAAATAATTTAATTTAAAAAATATGTTTATTTATAATAGTTATAGTAATAGGTATTTACAATGTATTTTTCGTAGCGGCATTAACGTATGTAGTACCTCACAATATTGTGTCGTCACATCAGCATCGATCGCAGTGTGTGCGAACTGAACGTTTGCTTTGTGGAAATTTAGAACTTCATGATGAACGCAACGTATAACTTAGAGCAC